CTTGGACGAATGCAAAAAAATTCTTCGGAGCCAAAGCTGCCCTTTGGGCGAAAAGGTGGTGAGGGAGTTGCCGTAGCCCAGAGACGTAGGCCGTTCTCACGGCTCGGCCGACCTTTTGGCCCCGAGACAAGCTTTTGGTCCTTAGGTTTTTTACGATCATTTTGTCAGAGTACGCGAGAGAGTTTAGCGTAGAATTTTTTTTTGAAGAACGACTAAAAGTTGGTGTCTGGGACTTAGGGGGCTTCCCCCCCCCCTTCTAGCCCCCGAGGGAGGCTCAGTACTGCAGAGGCAGAGCCGAGTCTCCCTTATAGCATTATTGTGACGCCGAGCCCCTATCGATGGGCTTGGGTGGTTTCTCGAAAAATTAGAACAACTAAAGAATGCTTCTTTATTGTATTTTGAGAAACAATGTATACAATGCTTGGAAATTTAAGGGTAGAAGCGACATAGCTATTCTATGTTCCAAGCGTTGGTGAGGATTTCGCCCTTCTCGTTGGCTAGCCTGTAGGTCCCGGGCTTTAGTACTTGGGCGACGATGTACGGCCCTTCCCATGGCGGGGTCAGCTTGTGGCGGCCTTTACTGCTCTACCTCAGTCTCAGCACCAAGTCGCCCACCTTCAGGTCTTGGCTTTGAATGCGCCGGGCTTGGTAGCGTCGTAGGGCTTGCTGGTACTTGGCCGAGTGTAGCAGCGCGACGTCTCGGGCTTCCTCCAGTTGGTCGAGGGCGTCCTCGTGGGTAGTGCGGTTGCTCTGCTCATTGTAGGCATGTAGCCTCGGGGAGCCGTACTCCAAGTCAGTGGGGAGGATGGCCTCAGCTCCATAGACCAGGAAGAACGGTGTGAACCCCGTGGCTTGGCTTGGTGTGTTCCTCAGGCTCCAGATGACCGACAGGAGTTTGGCAAACCATTTCTTGCCGAATTTCTTCAACCGGTTGTATATTCTCGGCTTGAGACCCTGTAGGATCATGCCGTTGGCGCGTTCCACTTGGCCGTTTGTCCTAGGGTGTCCTACGACCGACCAGGCCACACGGATGTGGTGGTTGTCGCAGAATGTTAGGAACTTGTGGCCAGTGAATTGCATCCCATTGTCGGTGATGATGGTATTTGGAATCCTGAACCTGTGGATGGTATCAATGAAGAATAGCACTGCTTGTTCGGATTTGATTCGGGTGATCGGACGAGCCTTGATCCACTTGGAGAACTTGTCAATGGCCACCAGCAAATGGGTATAGCCCCCGGGGGCCTTCTACAGAGGCCCAACCATATCCAGCCCCCACACGGTGAATGGCCATGTGATGGGGATGGTTTGGAGAGCTTGGGCCGGGAGGTGCGTCTGCCGTGCATAGTACTGGCATCCCTTGCAGGACCGCACCAGCTTCGTGGCATCAGCAACCGCCGTTGGCCAGTAGAATCCTTGGTGGAAGGCATTTCCGACGAGCGTCCGAGGCGCTGCATGGTGCCCGTAGGCTCCCACGTGCAAGTCCCAAAGTAGGGCTTGGCCTGCTTCGGTGGTGATGCACCGTTGGAGGACACCAGATGGGCTTCACCTGTACAACTCGCCGTTGCTGAGGACATAGGTTTTGGCTCGTCGCGCAAGCCATCGGGCCTCGGTCCTATCTGTAGGAAGCTCTCCTCGAACGAGGCAATCAAGGAACGGGACTCGCCAGTCCATACCCTGGTCGGCCTTGGGAGGCTCCGCGTTGATTTCCATGGCCTCGGGCTCGGCCGCAGGGGTCTCGGTGACAGAGAGGGCCTCGAGCCCTACGGTGGGTTCGACCGGTGGGCCCTCCTCTACCGCCGAGACGTAGTCGATGGAAGGCTTGTGGAGGTCTCTGGCGAAGATGTTAGGGGGGACCGGGGCCCACGCCGACGCCATCTTCGCCAGTTCGTCCGCGGCCTCATTGAATTTTCGCGCGATGTGGTTGAATTCGAGGCCGTCGAACTTGTCTTCTAGGCGACATACCAGCTTGCAGTACGCCTCCATTTTGGGGTCATGGCAGCTCGACTCCTTCATCACTTGATCGACGACAAGCTGTGAATCGCCTTGTATGTCGAGACGCTGCACTCCAAGTTCGATGGCGATCTGCAAGCCGTTGACGAGGGCCTCGTACTCGGCCACGTTGTTGGAGGCAGCGAAGTGAAGCCGAATCACATAGCGCATGTGCACTCCGAGTGGTGAGATGAAGAGCAGACCCGCGCCTGCCCCGGTCTTCATCAGAGACCCGTCAAAGTACACGGTCCAGCATTCCGCCTGGACTTGAGCAGGGGGCAGCTGGGTGGGATATCCTAGAGACATGAACTCTAGGCTCCCGAACCAAATCATCGTGCCAAGACGCAGTGGTCGCACGAGGTCTGCCATCCGGAACTTGTCGGGATGAATAAGCTGACACGCAGTAGCCCCCCTACCTGGCACGCCAACTGTCGGTGTTTTGGACCGAGGGGTCCTCAACCAACTAGTGAAAGTGTACTGCGCGTTCCTAATCCCAGATGGTGATGCAAAGAGACACAAGGTTTATACTGGTTCAGGCAATAGGTGCCCTACGTCCAGTCTGAGAGAGCGGTCTTGTATTCCTTGCACCGAGGTGCTTGTAGTAGGGGCTTACAAGCTGAGCGAGAGAGGGAGCTAGTCCCAGGTCTCTGCGTGGAGTGGCGTGGGTTGCTTGAGATGTTGATCTCTTGCAGTGAGGGAGCATGTGTGTTACAGAGCGTTGCGCGTTGCTTGCCTGGGTGTCTCCCCCTAGAAGCGGCCCTGGTCACTCCCTTTTATAGTCGAAGGGAGGCACAGGGGCGGTACATGTATTTGCTACGTGGCGTTCTTCGGCAGGGGCGGCATGTCCGAGCCCTGCAGCTTGTCACTGTGGCGGCGTGGTCGGTGGAGCAGTCTTGTCCTCCGTGCACTGGAGCGACGCACCGGTCACGCTTGATCCCGTGCGACGTGGGAGCTCCTATGGTGGCAGACGCGCCTTCTTCTGTTGGAGGCGTGCTGGTTACTGTATGTTTGACCGGTGCAGAGTGCTGAGGCCAGGTTGATGCAATGGCGCGGGTACGCTGATTCCGAGGCTACAGGAGCTAGGCCTTGTGCGCGACGTGGGAGCTCCTGCAGCCTGACGCAGGGTATGGCGCGTTCTGCGGGCGACGTGCCAGTCCCAGAGTGCTGATAACGTGGAGAGCCGAGGCCCAGTCGATGCAGAGGCTGGACCGTCGTGGGGGGCTCGGCGGGCGCGAGTCCCGAGGCTATAGGAGCCCGAAAGCGGATAGTCGAGGCTCAGAGGGAGCAGTTGGTCTTGTTCGTTGATTCCGAGGCTACAGGGACCCGGACTTGACTCTCCACGCCGCGCTGTCCTTGGAGCAGGGGTTAGGCAGCACAGTGCGGCACGGGTGTCAGCCGTGGGCACAGTGCCGAGCACAGCAGCCGGTAACCCCTGCCCCGTCCTGTCCCGGACTGCATGGCGTCGATGTGACTCCCGTCTCGTCGTCCACTCCGCTGTACTGCGCCGACGTGCGGCTGACGTCGCGGGAGTGGTTGGACGCGTTGGTTGGATGTGACATCCTGTCAGAGAAATCGGTCAAGGCGGTGGTGATGGGGTTGATGCCGAGGCGGCCTCGAACGAGTCGGTAACTGAGTGCTCGTCCGAGGCCTCGTGACGCGGGGCCTCGGGCGAATCGGAGAATCAGAACCTCGTCCGAGGCCTTGCAATGTGGGGCCTCGGGCGAGTCAGAGAATCGGAACCTCGTCCGAGGCCTTGTGGTTTGGTTCTGGGCCGAGCCCGCTTCGGGCGAGCCCAGATGTTTGTTCGAGGTGGGCCGGGCGGTCCAGCCGGGCCTCGGATGTGGCGGGTTTGCCTGCAGTTGTTTTTTGGTTTCGTTATTTACAAGGTCTAAGCAATTTTTTCGGTTCTTGCTCAGGGTACCCTTTATTATGGTATCCGACACATGTATTGTAAAACACAAACTTGTTATGATTAAGGTGAATGCTCGTGTATTGCAACTTATAAAATATCACGATTACAGTATCTATTTTAGATATAGTATAACACGCGCTCATACATATGTTATCGTGATATTATGTGTACCCGTTGCAACGCACGGGCATTTAACTAGTCATGTAACAAAAAAAACTAATACTAGTACCTAGTAACTATATGCAGTTGCACGTACAAAAGTTGTCACGCACCTCGTATTTGGTATTATTTTGTTTCAAAAAGTTACACCAAAGTTCACACATTTGCCTTTGATCACATTATAAAAAAGTTACACTGTAAATCAAGGCGTCATACATACTTCTGAGTATATCTCGTTCTGTCACGTTAAAAAAAAACATAGTTAACTCAAAACCATCTCAAAAAGAGATCAGTATAAAACTTTCCAAAAAGAAATAGACAACATAATTTTCTTCCAAAATTAGAAATAATTAAATATACAATTTTATTATTACCTTCTAGGAAGTAATATGTGGTAAAATTTACTGTGCTACACTTATTTTTAGAGACGGATATAGATCCAACTGTCTCTATAAGTTGATTTTCCAGAGGTGTCTCTAGATCTAGCTGACTCTAGAAATCCATTCATAGACGCGGTTAGATCTAGAGCTGTCTTTAAAAAAGGAGCATTTGTAGAGGCGGCCGGAAATACCAGCCATACCTTACAAATGCATTTCAGATGTGGCTAGCTGAGTGGTTGCGACACTTAGTATGATTTGATAGGTCATGTTTGGAACCACTTTTAATTGATTCGATTATAATAATTGATTGGGGATTTTCTTTCGATTCTTGATTGTGTGCTAGTTCAAAGTTTCAAAGTATGGATCAAAAGAATATAAAATAATCAAAGGATTCTCGTTTTTTCATCAAGAATCAGACTGTAAGCGGAAACAAAAAGGCCAAAAGGTGCTTTATACTATTGCATGAGAAACCGAGAATTGTCTCTCCAAAAAGAAAACGAGAATTGTTTTTTTACTTTTATTCATTTATTACAAGTGCAATCAACGGGCACACGCACTAATTAAACCGAAGCCCTCCGGAGTCCCACTGCTCTAACCACCACCTCCCTTCCTGCCGGCCGGCCGCCTTGTGTCTCCCAAGAGACCAGCAACAGCAGCCAAGCAGCTGCAGCACTGAAGCCCTCCCATCCCATCGCCCTGAGCGCCCTGCCGTGCATTCGAGGGGAGAGATTTGCAGCGCACAAACCAAGCCGCGACTGCTGGTGCCGACTTCCACCGCCGCTGGATCCGGTGCCGTGGTAGAGTACTGCTACTGCATAACGGAGGGGACCAGCTTGTCGTTCCACCTGCAGCAGCGACCAGCGAGGGAAGAAGGGGTTGGTAAAATGCTTGTCTTACCACTGTGTTGTGATTAGAGTTGTAAGCCCCTTTCTGTTCCAGTGAGTTTTCTAAAACGACGCAACTAGCGCTCGGACGTTCGGTGTGAGCACTCGTCCGGATGCACTTTGGGATCATCCGATTGAAATAACAGAAGTCGTCCAATCTCATCGAATAAAACAATGGAAACAATCGCACCTATCCGATACAATAGAACAAGCGCGTCCCCGCATCTGAAAACGAGCTTGCCCCCACGTCTACTCGCGGCGGCCCGTCCCCCGCTGTGCCGCCATGCCATGTCGCGTCGCCATCCCCTGCCGCGCCACCGTGCCACGTCGCATCGCCATGCCCCGCCGTGCCGCCATCCCCTGTGCGCCCTGTAGCCCTCCGCGCCCTATCCGGTGGGCGCTCCATCACCCAAATGTCCCATGAGAAATTTTACGTCAGAAGATCTGTTGCAACACGGAGCAATGCGAGATGCAACATCAAGTATTACTTGTTGCAACATCAGAAAAAAAAGAACAACATTAGAATCAGGCTACTGTAACATCAGAACAAAGCTACTACAATGGGAGATGCAACATCAGAAAAAAAAAGATTAATGCAACAAAGAAATATTACTTGTTACGATATCAGAACAAGGCTACTGCAATGCAAGATGCAACATCAGAAAAAAACTAACGCAACAAAGAAATATTACTTGATCAAATTCATTTAGCTGCAACTTGAAAAACGTTGCCTTCATAAAATGTCAGACGGCGAGGAAGAAGGGGCCGGCAAGGAAGAAAGGGGCCGGCTCGGTGACGAGCGCCAGGCCTAGGCAGAGGCACGGGGCACCGACCGACGTGGGCGCGGGGCAGCGGCCGGCGGTGGTAGGCGGGGGCACAAAGGGCAGCGACTGGCGGGGTTCCTCTCTGGCAGTTCGCCCTTGGTGCACAGGGCGGCAGCGGAATCTCGCAGCCTCGGCGGTCACGGCATGAGCGGATAATGGAGTGGGGGGCTCACTGGATGGGATAAGGGAGCGGGGGTTCACAGGATGAGATAAGGAAACGGGGCGTCACGTATCGTGGTCCGCGTGGCCGTGTCCGGACGCGAGTTGCGGATAGACGTTCTCGTAGAATCATTATCGTTTCTAAAATTATACAAATTCATGTGAGGCCTGATAGTAGTATAGACCATGCATGAGATGAGGTTGGATTGCTGATTATTAGTACATCCACCAAATAAACGTTCGCCAGCAAATGTCCTCGGTATTGAGAACGAACTAATTTTGTAGGATGAATAAATCTAAATAAATTCTAGACCTGAGGTGGTTATTAGGAGGTTAGACACTCAATTTTCAGAGAACGGGTTATGATCTCTTTGGATTTCTCACTGCACTACCCGAAACCATTTTTCCCCTGACGGTAGGGAAACTCCCCTTGCGGCTGACCACCAGAGATCTGAGTGCCAAGATTGTGAAGGTTTCTCTATGAACCTGATGCCCCCAGATGTTGTTCAAGATCTGAGTGCCAAGATTGTGAAGGGTTGGGCTGCAGTAGTGGCTCGCCACGGCCAGTGGCGGAGGCACAGGGTATGCCAGGTATGCATGGCATACCCTACGGCACCGGTGAATATACTATTATATATACGTATAAGCATTTGTATTTGTAAAAAAAAAAAAAAACTTACCTGAAATGGATCACGCCACCACGAACGTCCCACTTGAGGCGGCCCACGCAGCAAAGAAGGCGTTGGTCACCCACGAATGGATCACTCCACGAAACGCAACACAGGCACACGCAGGTCCACATGGCCACACTGACCACACGACGGACAGAGCGAGTGGGCCTAAACTGCTCTTCCCTAATCTAATCTCGATCGGAGGCGCATTTGACTTGGGGGCGAGGGGGATCCACACGGCCACGACACACCTGCACCGCGCCGAGACGCTACTGAGTACACCACACTTTCCCGGTTCACCTGGTCTAATCTCTTGTGCTATTTGCTAACATCACAATTAATAAACTATTTAATTATTTAGCATCGTGTCTTTTAATATTTGTGCAGTTATGAAAAGAAATGCGGATATTGCATCTCTTTTTTAAAAGCATGCAGCGAAGAAGGCGGCGGCGGCAGTTGCTACATCTAATCGTTCCCTAGATCCCTGATCCAGTTGAACCTGTGGTGGAAGAGCAAACTCATGTAACGCTCCGACCCGAGAAGACGGCTAAGGCCCATTCTACACGTTAAATGAACCACACCTGCTAATTAACTCTCTTGCGCTTTCGTCCTCGCTTCACGCAAAAGGATCAATCGAAGCTAACAGCCTCTCAGGTCCAGGCTTTTAAGCTGGTCTAGCGTTGGTTCATTTTCGGTATGGGACTAAACTGGGAATACTACGCTATGCTACAGTACCCCAAGCTACGACACCTCATCACTACAGTGTCACAAATTCGGTCCAGGCCAACTGGCCCAATGGGCTGGGTCACACAACTCATGAGAGAGTAATCGAGAAAAATGCTTCTAGCCATAGCAACGACAAGTGTTGAAAGAGTAGAGTATTTTCTGTACTGGTTTTAGTGAAAACAAAGTCACGAAATAAGATGGGAGATAGCGTTTTGGATGATTGTCTAGTCACTTTCATTGAGCAGGATATTTTCTTTGAAGTTAATGAAGATGATATAATCAAGATATTTATGTCCCTTCGAAAGCGTCGAATAAAACCCTCAGAAAAATAACATTGTAAGTCTCTAATACTTATTATGCCTATATTTTAATTATCGATATGGCATTTGAACTATTTATATTGTATTTAGTGGATGATTTTAACTTAATACATGAATTTAAGCATTATTGTGTTACTTATTGCATATATACCAAATTACGTTATCAATTTTTAAATTATTACTGAATTAGTAAAATGAATTTACCGAATTGTATATGAAATTTTTTAGACGGCATACGCTAAGCTAAAATCCTTGATTCGCCGCTGGCCACGGACCCCAAATGTCGTTCAAGATCTGATGCCGCCGGCCCGAGATGCATGGCAGATGGCACCGTGTTCACATCACATCCACAGGTAGCTAGCGCGCGTGCTACACACACACCCTCCTCTTCCTCTCGCACCGTGCATGTGACATATTTGACATAGGAGCATATACTATACTAGCACATCCGCTCTCCATGGCACGTCAACACCTCTTATCTTGTCTGTGCAAAGTGAACTCTCCTTTATTTGCATGCGGCTGCTAGTATTTATTAAGTGATAGGAAAAATATTTCTTCTTTTGCCATATATATGCATAAATTAAATGGCAATATGCAATTTTCATTTTCTGCCACAAAATGATTAAGTGCTTCTTCAATATTGCATTGCATTGTTCTTTCAGTACTACTGAGAGTACTTGTAGAAGTGGCTGGAAGAGAAGACCCAAGCAGGCAGCCACACGTGGACGCCGTCTCAAGTCACAAGTCACAAGTCACAAGAGGCTCGAACCCATGACCAGCAGTCTTGCATGTATCTCCTCTAACCACTTCACCCATAAGTCATTTTTCTCCATATGAGAAATAAACTCCTCTCGTATTCAGTTTAGCTATTTTGAAATGTGTATTTGAGACCCTAAACAAATTTAAATAAAAAAGTCTTCAACTACAAAGTTGTAGATATCATCAAGACCTACAATTTTGGTTTTAGTACTTTCTCCATCGAGACCGTTTAAAAAAATTTAATTTTAAATGTGAGAAATTCAAAAACAGTTTTCCTTGAAAATGATTTTAAATGAAAAGGTTGCCAAACTTCAAAGTTGTATAACTCTTTGAGATATACAGCTTTGGTTTTTGTCATTCTTCCATATGAAGTCATTTGAAAATTCAAAATTTACTGTGCTGCACCAATTTTTAAAGATAGATATAGATCCAGCAGCCTCTACAAATCGATTTATTAAAAAAAATTAAATATGAGAAATTCAAACACAATTTTTCTTGAGAATGATTTTAAATGAAAAGGTTGCCAAATTACAAAGTTGTATAACTCTTTGAGATATACAACTTTGGTTTTTGGTCATTCTTCTATCTGATGTCGTTTGAAAATTCAAAACTTACTGTGTTGCATCTATTTTTAGGGACATATGTAGATCTAACCGTCTATACTAATCAATTTCTAGAGGTGGCTCTAAATCTAAAATCTATTTGTAGAGATGGCTGGATTTAGAGCAATTTGTAAAGAAAAAGGCATTTATAGAGGCGGGTGAAAATACCAGGCATCCCCTGAGTGGTTGAGACACTGTTAGTATGATGTGATTGGACATGTTTGGGACCGCTATTAACTCATAATCATCATATCGTGGGGATTTTCTTTCGATTCTTGATTGTGCTAGTTTAAAGTTTTCCAGCGTGGATCAAAAGAATAAAAAATAATCAAAGCTTTTGATGTGATTCTCGTTTTTTATCACCGAGAATCAGACTGTAAGCGAAAACAAAAAGGCCAAAAGGGTGCCTTAGGAACAGAGAATTGTTTTTTTCCTTTTATTTATTTGCAAGTGCAATCAACGGGCACACGCACAAATTAACCGAAGCTCTTCCAAGTCCCACTGTTGTAACGACCACCTCCCTTCCTGCCGGCCCGGCCGCCTTGTGTCTCCCAATAGACCAGCAACAGCAGCCAAGGAGCTGCAGCACCGAAGCCCTCCCATCGCCCTGCGCCCTGCCGTGCAATCGAGGAGAAAGATTTGCAGCGCACAAAGCAAGCAGCTGGATCCGGTGCCGTGGTAGAGTACTGCTACTGCATAACGGAGGGGACCAGGGGACCAGCTCGTCGTTCCCCCTGCAGCAGCGACCAGCGAGGGGAGAAGAGGTTGGTAAAATACTTTTTGTAGGATTGCTGATTAGAGTTGTAAGCCCCTTTCTATTCTAGTGGGTTTTCTTAAATTATACAAATTGATGTGAGATTTGCAAAAATGGGACTCGTAGACCCAAATTCGTAGACACATATGCACCCAGTTGTCCACCCGAGTGTCAACATAATCCAGGAATCAATCTTTCGAGTGTCATTTTTGCAATTTTTTCGCTGATGAGTACATCCACCAAATAAACGTTCGCCAGCAAATGTTCTCGGTATTGAGAACGAACTAGGTTTTGGAATTTTGTAGGATGAATAAACCTAAATAAATTCTAGACCTGAGGTGGTTATTAATTAGGAGGTTAGACACTCAACTTTCAGAGAACGTGTTATGATCTCTTTGGATTTCTCACTGCACTACCCGAATCCATTTTTCCCCTGACGATAGGGAACACTCCTTGCGGCTGACCACCAGAGATCTGAGTGCCAAGATTGTGAAGGTTTCTCTATGAACCTGATGCCCCCAAATGTTGTTCAAGATCTGAGTGCCAAGATTGTGAAGGGTTGGGCTGCAGTAGTGGCTCGCCACGGCGTTTGCTGCTGTGTACTGTCTGCCACCTCACAAGACTATGTGTGATTGAAGGTAAAGATGTAGACTGCCACTCTGCCTTATGTTCTTCCTATTCTTTTTGTATGGGAAATTTCTTAGGTAAATTGTGCTGTGTGTATTCCTGTTGGAAATTGAAAGAATGGTCTGATGCATGATCGATCTCCCGCCCTCAATTAAGAAATCTTGGGCTAGTTGGCAAGTCTTATTTTCTCGGTATTAGATTGGAATTTAGTACACTGTCAGGATAATAAAGAGCTTAAGTCTCTGCCATAATGCAGAAAAGTGCTAGCTAGATGTTATTTTCACTAGTGGCAGATGGGGCTGATGCTAAAGGTTTTAATTTTTGGATTTATAATTGGTGATAAAATTTTCAGACTTATGGTCATAAGGGAGGAGAGATATTTATTGAACTTTTATTAGCTACTACTACTATCAGAAGAATAAGATAGCATCTTCTGGAAGATATGATCAATGTTCATTCCTAGCTAATACTTCACATGAGTGGTCTTCTTATGCCAGCCACACAGATATTAGTTTGTGAATGCATTTAGTTAGCACCAGCTCTGCTTCAACAGTTGAGTATGTAGCCATATACTTTGACAGCTCAGCCTTACTTCTTTTTATTCGTTCATACGGTGTATTGTGCTCCAGCTTTAGTTTGTAAATACATGGATTTCCATGAGTCTAGGTCGAGAGTGTCTGCTCAATACTTGCAGACAGAACAGAACAATGGGTGATTACTACCTGCTTTCAGTTTTGGATACAAGCCATATGTTTCTTCTTTGAATCTTTGGTTTTGATGTGACATGAGTTGTAAATCTCTAACAGGTAAATTGGCTAAGGCACTTGCTTGATATGGGACTGTATGAGACAGCTTGACATACCACAAGACACAGGCAATTATCCCTTCATATTGAGCATCTCATTTGAGAATTAGTTGTGGTATCTAATGTGCAGTGAACTATGAATTTTTGGTTCTCCAACAACACTTGCTTGTCCATCTCTTACCCCTACTCTTTGATTGTGCATAATAAGATTAGTTCCATTGTCCTACATGCATTTTTTCCTGTTGCTTGTAGTTAACCTCTTTGTAGCTACATTCTGAATTTTTTATCTGGGCTGCAGTAGCAAGTTCCATGCATGAAAGCTGTCAGGTGCTAGCTAAAAACAACATTGAAGAACTATTTGGTTATATAAGATTTGAGAGGCTAGCATGTTGTTTAACTATATGCTGCTTTATCCACTTTAGCATTTAGTTACCATTTCCTTCCAGCCATTTGAGTTTCTGTTTCTAAAATAAATAAATAAGCTCCTTGAGTTTTTAGGCCAGTGAGCACACCACAAAAATGTCGTCTTTGTTTGTTTTCCATGTATTCTTCTCTTATTATATTTTTTCTGCATAGTCAATTTACTTGGAAGATGCATATCAAACTGGGTGAAGCAGAAGGACCATGAAGCCAAGATGCAGGAGCAGAATGAGCATGAAGATGAACATGCCTGCTTCAACAATGTCATCTCGGTCAGTTCCTAACTCTTTTACTATGCATAATGATGAGATTCAGTAACTTGCAGCTAAATCAAACTGCATGATTTAATTCAACACACATACTTAATGATTGTGTTAAATTTTGTCTTTCAGCAAACATCAAAATTGAAGGCTGACTCAAATCCTGACAGTGTGGCTAATTGACTCTACATACTATGGCAGTCCTGAATACATATATGTTTGAATGTGATTAATAGGCTTCTTTTTGCGTGAAAAGACAAAAAAAATGTCTAACCTGAGATGTTGTGATTGTGTTTTCTATAATCAGGTTATTTGGATTTTGTGTGATGTTGATGTCATTCTGATGCCCACTGAAATTTTCCCAAATATAGGCTACAATAACTTGTTGTGCTGTTGTCAATGGTTTGTGTTTCTTTCTTCGCAATCTGTCTGCATTATGCTGTTGTATTATTGTCAGGGAACAATCCGTGACGGTTTCCACAGCCAGTCCCTGACGGGCCATCCCTGACAGTTACCGATGTGGAAGTTATCCATGACGGTATCATGTACTTTCCTTGATGGGTTTGTCCGTCAGGAAAAGAACTGCCTGGGGTAGTGCTGCTTCCATTTGCTTTACATGTGTATCCTTTCTGTGTCTTTGATCTAGGACAATGATTTAGTTGCATTTGATTTTCATTTTTTTTTTATTAGCAAAGAGGAACCGCTGCTTTCGTCACCCCTGGTGCTTGCCTGTCAATTGCCAGCAGAGAATTGATTTATGCTATCTCGATTATTCAGTTTGTGTCTTAGGGGAAAAAAGTTGTTTATGAGCAACAGGAATTAAATTTGAATCGGGCATTTGCTTCTATTGCAGACACTGATGTGGGAGGTGTCAGCCATCTGCGTGAAGGGGTTATGGGGTAGAAGATCCTGAAATTGCAGTCCAGTAACTTTGTTGGTTCCCAAAAATTGCAGTCCAGTAATCGTGAAGGTGTCAGCCCCCACATTGTTTGCTTCTGTCTGCCACTTCACAAGCTAAGACTCTGCGTGACTGAAGGTAAGATGTAGTCTGCCACTCTGTCTTATGCCTTATATTCTTTCTATTCTTTTCATATGGGAAATTTCTGAGGTAAATTGTGCTGTGTGTATGCCAGTTGGAAAGGGAAAGAATGGTCTGATGCATGATCGATATCCCACCCTCAATTAAGAAATCTTGGGATAGTTGGTAAGTTCTTATTTTTCTCGAATGCGCA